TATATATATATATATATATATATTATAAAATAATGATTTCTATATTGTTTATTTTACATGTGAAATTACTGTTAAAGTGGTGTTCATAGTTTGAAATTAATGTTGTTTTCTAACTACCTTTAATCAAATGATTGATCGAGTAAATTTCAATTATTTCTCAAAGCATTTTCCAGACTTTCAAACAATCTGGTTTCAATTTGACCCACACATCAATCATAATTATCTATCAATTGGAATTTATTAATACCATCAAATATTATGTAATAAAAGTTTATCTAGTCAAGTAGAACCTTAGATGTGAGTTAATTTTTTAAAAATTTGTTTGATCATGATAGAAGTGGTTGATTTATAAGACCAACAAATTGCCATTTGATCTCTTCCAAATACTTTTAATCTCATCACAATAGTTAGTCTGCTACTGTTTACTAGGAGTACAAAATATTGGTGGCCTAAATCTCATTATAGATGTCCCAAAAAAAATTTTTTTAAATGTCCCAAAAAAAAAATCTCATTATAGTAATAATTTTTGTCCCATCAACTCAAGAGTTTAATGATGATAGATAAAGAGTATAGTAGGGATTCTATTCTTTTTTTTTTTTTTTCACTTCAATTCGTATGTTAGAAAGTGTATGGGATTTAACCAAATGTGTAGTTATTGTTAGTGAAGGATATAGACGAAAGTGATAAGTAACATTTGAAGACTTCAAGTAGATCTTATCATTCTCAGGAAAATAGCGAGAAATCTCTACAAATCCAACGAAAAATTAGAAAAAATAGGAATTTTATTGCAAGAATCAAATAGACGGAAGAAAATAACAAGATACAATTGATCCTCTATTCAAGAGGAGGATCTTTCTCTCCTAAATCTCTAGATCCGCTAGAGCCCAAAAGAAACCCAAACTTAAAGATATCTCAAATTTAGCCCAATTTCAAGATAAAATCCTAAACCTTAGAAGAGTATTTTGCTTATTCGGCTTCTTCTTCCTCCTTTTTGATGTTGTTTTTCTTTGGTTGTAACGGTTGTGGAATTTGTTGTGTGGTTCCGTTAGTTCTTTAATGTTGGTTGTGGGGAAAGTGCTCCTACCATCTTCTTTATTTGTTCTTGTCTGTATGTGCAACATTGTTTGCAGGGTGGCACTTTCTTTATTTGGATTTAATCCATATCACTTGGGTTGCTCTTGGTGATGGTTGTGCAGCTTGGCCGTGTATTAGGGTGCCTTTTTGGTTGTTGCGGTTGGTGTTGATGATGTTTCTTTATTTATATCTCAGCTTTTACTATGCTTTACTTTGCTTTTTAATTTATTGGATTAGGTAGGATCTAAAACTCTTAGGATTTCTTTCAAATGCTATATTTTTAGCGAGCTTCAGATTGTGTAATTTTTATCTTTATTAACGTGTAGGCCCCGCCGTGGATTTTTTCCAAAAAAAAAAAAAAACAAATAAGATTAAAAAATCCCTAAACAGTCCCTAATTTAAATTTTCCTCTCAAAGCAATATTTAATTGAGTTTTTCCCTTATAAAGCAATATTTAATTGAATTGTTCCCTCCCAAAGAAATATTTAATTGAGTCCCCTAATTCAAATTAGACCGATCTAACAATACTCCCATCCCAAAGATCTACGTTGTCCTCAAGGTGAAAGGATGGGACGTAGTTGATAGCTTTTTTCTGCTGCTCTATTAGTGGCCATGCTATCGTCCACTGGAATCAAGCTAAAGTTTTTCCTTCCAAACAGAGGGTCGCTACCGTCAATCTCTCCTCCGTTTTCCCATTCAACATGAGATACATCTCCACCCGGTACACCCACCTTGTTAAACTCTATTCTGCCCATTCACCATGAGATACACCTTGTCCTCAAGTGAGTTTTACATTCTTTGTATTAATTCAATGATCATGTGAATACAAATGTTATGATTTGATCGTTGACATGAGTATAGTTGTAGGTTTTGGTGACATATTTGGCTTTTTAGATCATTATATATAGTTTAAATATTTTCAAATTAGGGCAAAATATCAGGAATGTGAGGCTGATCATGATTCTTCAGGTTTATTATTAGCTTGTTTCTTTTTATCAGTAGTAATTCTTTTGTACTTAGGATATGATAGATATGCTATGATTGTATAGATCTTAAGTAGTGTATATGATTTTTGAGAAATGAATATATATATATATATATATATATATATATATATTGATGTTTTGATCGATAGTTTTATTTCTGTTGATATATATAATGATAAAAGAAATTAGATAGCTCTTGTGATGTAAGTTAAAAGATAAAAGAATAATTCTTTCAAATTAGATTATGGAGTGTGATGCGGAGTATGTAAAGACCAAGTATGTGGAGATGCATATTATCATAATGGCGCATCTTTGCTAGTTTTGCTTGATGATATATTATATTCCATTATTTTGGCCCTATGATGTGTTACATTGGATGAAAAAAAAAATGATGGTGGTAAAGCATAACATGATTATTTAGCAATAAGCAAGGACTAAACAGTCTATTATCATCACTTGGAAAGAAAGGGTTAGTGACTCTAAAAAGAGATTCCACTAAGGCATCATAATCTTGAGGTCCTAAAAAATCATTAAGAGGTTGGAAACCAAGGAAGATGGTCTCTCAATAGACATCCATTAAAGATATTTCATTGCTCAATGTATGAACCTCCAAAATGATTTTGTAATTTTCCTTTCTTGTTTTTTAAAGGCTTGTGTATCTTAGTCATATATTAATAGAATTTGTTCTATACTAATTATAATTCTAGATGGTATTTCTAAGATTCTGAATTTTCATCTAGTAGCCAAAATAGAACTACTACATTTTCTTCTTCCTATCTTGCTTTCGCTTAATGTCTTAGGTTTTCTCATTCTAATTTTTTTTTTTCAAATTTATTTCTATGAAAGATGTCTTCAAGGAAGATGTCAAGTGATGGGAGATTTAGAACATTTCTACCTTTGCAAATGGCTTTGTTGGTGTGACTTTTCATATGAGTTCAACAAACATTAAAGATTAATTACATATTAAGGTTTCGTTTGGGACGGCTTTCTTAATGCTTCTTAGAGCAGCTTCCTAGTATAAAAATTTTAATTTTTATACTAGGAAGCTTCTTTAGGAAGCAGAAAGAAAGTCGTCCCAATCAAAGCCTAAATTAATCTTTGATTTGCTAAATGGGTCCTCTATTAGACTTTCAAAGAGGGGTGCGAGATCAAACAACTTATATTTGAAGAATGAGGCATAACTATTTAAGCAATATTTTAAGATGTGGTTTACTCTATCTATCAACATCAAACTCAATGATGTTTTGAAAACTTTCTAGTATGTTCTAACTCGACTTTTCGCGAATACTTTTGCTATCTTGGGAGGCATGAAATGGTTATTTTGAGAAGTATAGTTGATATAGTATCATCACATTTGCACATACCTATTGTATATATTAAATAAATTTATATGTATTCCCTTACACTCAAATACTTTTTAGAAATTGAATCAATGTCTAAACAACAAGCTAAATTCCCATATGGGTTTTCTCATTTAAAATCCCAATTCTAGAATATTTAAAAATAGATTTTAATTTTAAAAAATAGAGTGGAAATGCAGTAAGTGATTGAAAATTTCAACTAATGCAAATAATAATTCAAATTAATAATTTTGAACTGTCCCAATTTTTCCTAAAGAGATTTAAGATGTTTTTCAACATTTCAAAATTAAAATATTGAATATTTCAACTATGAAAAATAAGAAAACAAAATAAATAATTCTAAAAATTTTTTAGGATAATCAGTACAATGTAATTGACATATGATATCAAATGCATGGTCTTATAAATGAACACTGCTCAATCAATTTTAAGCTTTTTTTTTTAAATATCATAAACTAATTTTTTAATCAAAATAGGGGTATTTGAATATCATATAAATAGTTTCATTTTGATATACATTTAACTATATTAATTTACATCAATTAAGATAATTAAAAAATTAAACTAATCATAATATATGATATATACCATACTATATGATCAATATGATTATCTTGATGAAATTGATAGAATCATATTATCTTGATTATTATTATTCAAAATTTGAGCTAATCATATTATTGATATGTATTTTACTATACAATCAATCAACTAAAATAAATCTTTTTTTAAGTAATATGATTTTTAAAGCAATTATTATGATAAAAAAAAACTTAAACCTATCGTACCATATGATCCTGATTATGATAAACTAAAATCAAATGTCTTTATTTAAGCAACTTTAGGGTTTGGTCTAGTATACACTAAACTTAATATAAAGGCTTTTATACTAAACCCTAGATGAAATATTATGAGAATAAGCTCCTGAAAACTCATAGCCACCACTAATGACCCTACAGAGAGGGGGGGGGGGGGGGGGGAGAGAGAGAGAGAGAGAGAGAGAGAGAGAGAGAGAGAGAGAGAGAGAGATTTTAGAGAGAGAGTATGATATAACACCAATGAACATCTTCTTCTTCTCAACCACTTTTTATCCTAATGTTTAAAATTTTGATTGACTGAAAAATTATATTTATGCCCCAAATTTTGATGACTATCATTTTCGTATATAAAATTGAATAAAAAAAAAGGAGGATGGATTGTGTTATGTATAACATTGCTTATGCATAATTATGAACAATTTTTCATGTAAAATACTGAAATGATTTCTGACTCACATACTAGGTTTAGAAAATTTGTCACTTCATTGCATGCACTTAGTAAGGAGCATAAGGATTGAATCCAATGATCTAAAAAAAGCATTTGGGTTGAAAGGTCTAACATATTTGCAATCTAAGTTGACCATTGATCAAACCTAGAACCAAAGTCCAAATTAATGAATCTAATGATTAGCTACAATCAATTAGGATGTAATTGAGTCACAGAGGATGGTGATTTAGTCCTTCGGCCAATAATTAGCTTGTTTGGCCCACTTAAGCTTAAGACAGGGTTAGTGCTAAATTAGAGTTAGCTATATTTAAACTTAAAGAAAATTAAAGTTTAAGATCAAATTTTGAAATATCTAAAGGTTTTAATTTAAAGGTTTTAATTTAAAGGTTGACAAGTCAAAGGAAATTTTATGGTCATCATTGGGTTATTCATACTTAGCTTAATCTATGGACTATGTTAGGAATTTTAGCCAAGCTAAGCTTATATGTTAGCCTAGGAATAGCTTAAGCATTAGAATTAAACTTATAAGAAGGATTTGGTGGTGACTAATTCAATTAATCACAATAAAGGAATAAAATTGATGGCTACATTAGATCATCTTTAGTATCAATAAGAGGATCAAATAGGGTGTTATAATATGTGTGCTTCAAAAATTTACACCCATCTCTTCTAAGAGAGTTTACTTTCATGCCAAAAATTTTAAAAGGTAAACTGGATTGCAGATATGATATTATTTAGAAATTTCGCCCTCATGTTGTAACACTTTTATAATTTAGTTCTAAATTTTTTATAGGCACAACTCTTATGGTTAATTATTTCTCTCGTTCATCAGAGAGATATTTCGATTAATGCTAATCAATATGTGATAAACAATTAGCCTATAATAGAAATATTTTTTATTTTCAAAAGAAGAAATTATCGCCATTAACTTAGAGTATTAGGTGGACCATCACAACATGAACAAATCAATCGGTCGTAGCTTAAATTTGATATTTTAATATTGCATTGTAAGTCATTGATGTTTGCTTTTAAAGGTTAGATATTTTCATTTCTATCATTGTTCATTTTAGACTTCTTTTTATTTGTTGTTGTTCTATTTTACTGATGTATTGTTATTTAAATTTATGACAATAAAATAAAGTTCAGCTCCGCTTGCATTCAATACCAAACAATAACGAGGAATACCATCATGTGAAGACCCAATACCGAGTTATACCGAGCAATATCGAGTTATACAAAAAAATACCAAGTTTTTCCTAGAAAAAATCGGTATTTTTTTGTATAACTCGGTATTGCTCGGTATAGCTCGGTATTGATCTTCACATGATGGTATTCCTCGTTATTACCAAATAATACCTAGCAATACCGAGCAAATACCGAGTTTTTGGTGGGATTTTACTGCCGTCCGGACGTTCCTCTACGTACGTTCACCGGACCAAATAAAAGTTCCATCGCTTGACTCAACTTCCTTGCTTCGTTTTTGTTGATGGCTTAGAGTAGGTGCACAAGGGGGAAAGAAGAGAAGGATAAGGGTATCTCGTCCACTCCACATGCATGTCGTTTGTTGTTATTTGTGCTATCAAAACATTTTCCCAACAAGCTCAGCTCTAATGTGTTTGGTGCAAGGAGAGTTTTGAGAAAATGGCTAAAAGAACTCAATGAGGAGAGCTTTAGGATAAGGGTATAAAAGGTAAATAATATTTAAGAAATATACTTCTAAGTAATTTTTTAGTACATAAATTTTTATACTAAAAAATTGCTTTAGATAACATTAAAAAAGTTGTCACAAGCGAAGTTAAATATTAACAAATATTTAATGATCAATCCACTAAATTATATTAATTATTGAAAACTTATTCATGATGGCTTATTATTATAATTATTTAACATATTTTACTTTTAGCATGAGTATTTATTATTAAAATTTTACTTGTTTTAACATATTTAAATTTTGAAATAAGTAATTAAATAGTTCATCTAAAATTAATTAAATTTAATCTTTATTAGGCTAAAAATTTCAAAACTTTAATTATCTCAAAACATACTAAATTTGAATTTAGAGGAAATACTAAATCCAAAGCCCACCCGAACAAATTTTTATTAGGTCCGGACACCAGACGTAGCTCTACATACGGACACCAATAAAATGTCGTCATGTGCTCTTATTCATTACCGCGCGGCCCGACGACCCGACTTGGACTGGAACCTAATATTGCTATGTATTAGCTGATTTGTATAGACCAAGGTATTGCTAGGTTTTGCTCGATATTGCTAGATGACGAGAAATACCACTGTCAAGACCAATATCTAGTATTACCGAGCAATACCTAGCAATACCGACCAGGTATTGCTCAGTATTGCTCGGTATTGCTTGGAGCAATACCTAGCAATACACGAATATAGCAATATCGGGTTTCCGTTCCGGGTCGGGACGTCAGGCTGCGCGGTAAAGAGTAAAAGCACTTGTCGATATTTTATTGATGTCCGAATGTAGAGCTATATCATGTGTCCGAACCTAAAAATTCCACCCGAACAGCCTCCATAGGCCATAGCGTTGACCAAACCCGGTCCGAAACCAACCCGCCAAAATGCCCTCGTTCCGGCGGCTCGGCCTCCGGCCTGTTTTGGTTTGGGGTTTTATATTTCAGAGCCACCTTCCCCATCTTCCCCCCGTCCATTTCTTCGGTCCCAAGTTCGTGCGATTCCTGCTTCTATAGCGGCGTCCCATCGCCTTGGCCTCTGAACGAGGAGATGGCTTCGAGGGTTCTTTCTCGAATTCCGAGGACGAAGGCGCAGCTCCTTCTAGTTCGCGCTACCTTGCACCCGAAGTTGCTATATGGTTTTTCCGATTTCAGTCGGCCTGCTTCGAGCTTGTCTAAGGTGCACCTTTCTTCTTAATTATTTTTATTTTATCTCATTGAGTTGATGTTTTGTCGCCCCAAAGAAGACGAATTGTTGTTATGCGTTTGAAGGGTTTAGGGTTTAGGCTTTAAAAAGTTCCGTTTTGATATTTTTTGGGTTTTAATAGTGTTGTTTAGTAGGTAATGTTGAATTGGTCACTCTTTTTTGAGAGCTTTTGATAGGGATAAGCGGCAATCACTGAGTTCGCTGGCAACTCCAGTAGCGGTGGGGCAAGAAGGTGGACGGCCTGAGAAGAAGTTGCTTGGGAAAAGGAGAAGTGGGAAATAACAGAAGAAAAGGAAGTTATTTGCTTTTTCATTCATCTATTCCATCACCAGTACAGCCAATATAACCTTTCTCTATATTACAGGAAAGCATGCTCTTACCATATTATGACCAGCGTCTTTGAATCATAACAACCTAAGCCATCTATCCAATGAAAAAGCACATGTCATAGACCTAACAAGCTTTAAGCCAAAATTAGAGTAATCTATACTTTATTATCTCATGTATTTCCACATCATTACCCTTGTTCAGTTGGAAGTCTTTGATCCACGCCAATGTTTGGCATTCACAGTGTGGCCAGTCTGTGATGGTTGATGTGAGTTCGTTGTCGTGACTGTGCTCGTATCAATTCTCATATCCTTAGGAAGAACAATCTTATTCTCACGGTTGATGTTAGGATACATCCGTGCTAAGTCTTCCTCCAAATCAAAAAGGCATTCTTGGGTGCGAGATTTTCCAATGAGCGAGACGCTTCTAGTGCTATTTGTTACCCATGACAATTTGCCTTGACTGGATGATACTTTCTAGTTGAAAAATTGGGTGATACTTTCTAGTTGAAAATTTGGGTGATTTAACTATGTTATAATGCTAATGGATGAAGCTGTGAATGTTTTTTGTATGGTTTAAATAATTATATGTGAAACATCAGGTTTATTCAGCAATGTGTTGGCAGATCTTGTTTATAGGAGACTGATCGTATGGGTTCTGTAACAACGAATTGCCTGAAATAACTCATGCTGAGATTTGAGTAATGGTTGGATTGAAGGGATATCTGTTGGTAGGGTTGGAGTTTGTCTAGAATGAGATGTCTACATTGTATTTGAGTTCATGATGTTTTTTTTTTGTGAGTTTGCAGTTTCATCCGTCGTTGTGCTCTATACAAGTTTTGTGGATTTTTTTGGCAAAACCTTGACACGCTATTGTAGTGAATTGTGAACTTCTTTGAGAGCAGATATGTGAGGGGCATATGGTTCGATGGGTTGAGGTGATTGACCATATAAGGCTTGAAATGGGGGCATTCCAATAATTGAGTTTTATGAAGTGTTGTAAGATTATTTTACCATGACTTGAATTTAGTTTATTTTTAGGGATTGTCCACTACATAGTAATATAACATATATATTAGGCAAACTTGTCAATGGCGAATAGTGTACCATAGAGCAAAGGTCCAATTGGATCCATAATGAATAACACATGGCATAGCACACGTTTTTTTGAGCACAACACAATATATTAAAAAATATTAATTTCACATATTACAAGCAAAATTTTTTTTTTTTTTTGAGCCCAAGAATTTATGAAAGAAATTTGTGCTTGCATTTGCCTTTAAATTTAACTCAAGATTTAAGATATATGTTCTCAAAGTAGCCACAAGATATTGTTCATGTTATTTTAAATGATATTATTTAAACTTATTAGACAACAAACAAGAGAAAACTATATATAGTGCTTAAATCTCTTGCCTAAAGCATGCTAGTCCATATTTAGATTCTCTCAAGTTGTTGTCATACATGCCAATGGTGTAAAATAGCATGTGTCATGATGCATGACATAGTGCGGTGCATGGCATAGGTTGAAAACGTTGAAATTCATGGGTTAAAAATGAAGCAACATATAGGACTGACTAGTAGCGCATGGCACAAAACCCACATAGTGCACACAATTTTATTTTATAGGATTTATGATTTAAAATTAATATTTATGTTTATATCAATTAATTTTATTTTTTATTTTTAACTAATATTTAGTTTTATGTTTATGATTAATTATTTATTTTATAACTAAACTTTTCCATCCACCCTAATTATTTTGCACCAAATCGAATCGGCATGCCACGAGGCAATTGGGAAGGCTCAACTTTGATGATTTTTCACAGATTCGCACCTCCCTCTTCAAACACTTAGTACAAAAGATTGTGATCCATCTTCGTATATCTAATCATTGCTGCTTCAAGCCTTTGATAACTTTGTATAGCCTATCACGAATTGCCTTCGTATGCACGATCACTTTAGTAAGATGGATGGAATGGATAGAATAGCCAATATTTGTGTTGTTTTTGGTGAATTAGTGTTAGTTTCTAGAATGCGTGAGCTAGGGCATCCGCAAATTTGTTCGTGTTGATTGACTTATATTCAATTATGTAATCTTATCAGAATAGTATAAATAACAATCATTGTTGTTCTGCTATTTGAATTATGTGGGTCATGTGTTTGTGAATACTTTTTTGATTAGTTTATATGGTGAAGGGTGCGCCCAGCTAGTATTGTCTCTACTTGGTGACAAACTTTGTTATTGTAAACATAGATGAAGATGTATTGCATGTGATTATTTAATTTACCATTATAGAAGGCTAGTGGCTTATCATTTATGAATGTAAACTACATCTATGGTGATTCTAGATTTGCAAGTATCAATGGGATAAAGGCTTGATGATGTTGTTATTGTTGTTGTTGAATGACAATAATTTGGTCCAATTCGGTAATGTCATAATCAGTGTTTGGCCAAGGCTTGTTTTAATTGCTCAAATGATTGCTTGTTGGTTTTCCATTGGAATGCATCTTTGTGTGACTAGTTGGTTGATGGGCTGACAATGGTTGCAACTTCTTTAACAAATTCGTGATAGTAGCTGGCTAAGCTTAGAAATCCACTAATACTTTGAGTTAAAAAGGATCATTATTAAAAATTAAATTAGGAGAAGGATCATTATTAAAAAAATTTAAAAAGGATCATACACGCAAATCTACATTGCGTTTTTGGTAAAAATAAGAAAATGCAAAACAATTTCGCGTTTTTCTTTATAACTTAATTTTTTTGGGTTGTGTCCTAGTTTGAGAGATATAGAGAGAGAAATAAATAAAAATATAAGAAGCAGAGAAGAGAGAGAGATGGATAGAGACGGACAAAGAGAAACACGAGAGAGAGAGAGGGAGGTAGAGGGAGAAACCAAGAGTGAAATTTATTTAAAGTTAAATAATTTAAATTTATATTTTAAATAATTAATAAAATTTTTAAATTTATATTTTAAATATTTAACTTAAATTTTAATTAAATTTATATTTTAATTTAAATTTACATTTTATATATTTAATTTTATATTTTAATTTAAATTTATATTTTAATTGAAATTTAATTTTTAAATATTTATTGAATTTTTATTAAGTTAAATATAAATATAATTTAAAATTAATTTATTCGTTGATTCGACAATCAAAATAGTTGAACCGATCTTGGTTTCTTTGTACCGGTTCAGTCAATTATTGTCCCTGAATAAATTTAGTATAAATATTAAATAAAATATTAAAATTAATAAATTAATTTAATTTAATATATTTAATATTTATTGAGCATTAAATTCCTATAATAATCATTTGCCAAAGTACCAATCAAGCATTTTTGCATGGCTCTTCCATGTTATGAGAGTTCCTAATATATGAAACCAAAAAAATTATAGAAATAATACTAAGAGAAAGTTTCTATGTGATATAGGATTAAATATGTTGAAATTCTCAAACTCATAACACTTATACTACTTATTTTTAAATATGTTTTTAATGATTTTTTATATGAATAATAGTTATTTTTTAATTTAATAATATTTATTTTTATGTAATTAATTAGTTAATTAATAAATCAATTTTACATATAAAAATTAATTATTTATGTATTTATTATTGATAAATGTTCTAATATCAATAATTTATAGATGCAAGTTTATAATATGATTGGTATTTAATTTATAACTATAAATTATGTTTAAATATATAACATAAATTAACAATAATTTATATTAAGTTTATAAGATTTTTTGTGAATTAAATTTATATTAAATTTAAATTAAATTTAAAGATTGAATAATTTTAATATTTATTATGTCATCCAACCAATTCAACCCTAGTCGAACCATTGAATCTTGAACATCCTATTTTTTTGTTCTATGTGCAGTTCGGTTTTTACAACAGTGAAGTAAAATGAATCTTCTCCTTATTTGAGCAATACCCTCTGTAGAAATGGTGTGACCAATATATTTTGTGTGTTTGGTAAGGAACATTTGGAGCGATGGAGATGGTACGTGTTAGTGGGGAGGTAGTCAAAGATGACTGGGAGATTGAGAATATGATCGTCTAATGTACCGCTGTAGATAATAATATTGTTAAAAAAAGACTATTCTAATTTCCTTAAATATGATTAAAGAATTTTATTCTAGATGCTTTGAACTATGGATGGTGTATTGGTATGGTTGAAAGGCATCTTAATGATTTCACAGTGGCCCTTATGTGTCCAAAGATTATTTGTTGATGTTGGTGAAGGCCATGTAAACTTGATGATAGCTGACATGTAGGTCTACTTTGGAAAAAATGCAGGCTTCATGGTGTTCATTCAGAATTTTGTCCACTATAGGATTGTGAAACATGTGTGGTGTTGCCGATTGATTAAGAGCCTTATAATCCATACAAAAATCATTAGGTGCCATCTTTTTTTTTTTAACGAGCAAAACAAGGGAAGAGATGACACTTGCGTTGGCACGTTTGATGCACAGTTGCAGCATTTCTTGTACTACTGTCTAATTTCTATTTTTTTGAAAATGCTTGTACCAATAAGGATGGGTATTTATATGTGTGTTTCAGGCATTCAATTAGATTTTGTGATCATTTTGGCATTTTGATGGAAGGATAGAGGGTTCACTTATTATTGTT